AATTCTCCTGCCTCAGCCTCCTGAGTAGCTGGGATTACAGGCACGCACCACCATGCCCAGCTAATTTTTTGTATTTTTAGTAGAGACGGGGTTTCACCATATTGACCAGGATGGTCTCGATCTCTTGGCCTCGTGATCCACCCGCCTCGGCCTCCCAAAGTGCTGGGATTACAGGCTTGAGCCACCGCGCCCGGCCTGAGAAATCAGATTTAAAGCAGCAGAGACATTCCTTGAAAATATAATCTGACCTATGAAGAGGAGAGGAACAGAAAATAACCACTAAGAGTTGAAACCTTTAATCCTACATTCATAAGAAACTGAATTCTGCCAACCACCAGTGAACTGGGAAGAGGAACCTGAGCCTCAGATGAGATCGCAGCCGGTGAGACCCTGAACAGATGTGTACCCAAATTCTTGACCCATGAAGACTATGAGATAACAAATTTGTATTGTTTTAAGACTCTATATTTGTGGTTATTTGTTATACAGCAATAGAAAACGAATACAAGTTTCTTTATAGTAAAAATATATACAATGAATATGATTATTGTACATAAATATTTAAATATATTTTATTTATTCGTTTATTTTTTAATTTATTTGAGATGGAGTCTTGCTCTGTAGCCCAGGCCGGAGTGCAGTGACACGACCTCAGCTCACTGTAGCCTCTGCCTCTCGGGTTCCAGCGATTCTCGTGCCTCAGCCTCCCGAGCAGCTGGGATTACAGGCACGCACCACCTCTCCTGGCTAATTTTTATATTTTTAATAGAGATAGCGTTTCATCATGTTGACCAGGCTGGTCTCCAACTCTTCAAGTAATCCACCCACCTTGGCCTCCCAAAGTGGTGGGATTACAGGTATGAGCCACGGCACCCAGCCTATTTAAATATATTTTTATATTAATATAGATATCTTATTATATACTGTATATTATAATATGTTTGTTATGTTATAAAAAATCTACAGTAGCAGGACCAGCCTGGGCAACATAGTGAGACCCCATCTCTACAAAAAATTTAAAAATTAGCCGAGTGTGGTGGTTCTTGACCATAGCCCCAGCTACTCAGGAGGCTGAAGTGAGAGCAGCACTTAGGCCCAGGAGTTCAAGGCTGAAGTGAGCTAGAACCACCGCATTCCAGCCTGGGTGGCAGAGTGAGACCTTATCTCTTAAAATAGAATAAAATAAATATATATTAAATATATATAAATATAACATATATTATTAATATTCGCATCTATAAATAATAGAAAATCTATACTGTAATCAATAGGCTATATTAAAATATTAACATATATTAATATATAGTCAATATCTATATAGTTCATATATAACATAGTTACATATAAAATGGTTAATATTTACATAGTTAATACATAATATAGTTACATATAGTTGATATTTATACAGTTAATAATATAGCATATATATAAACTATATAGACTGTCTGGGGCAGAATTGTGCTACCTTGTAAACTTACAAGCTATGTCAAATACATGCTAACTCAGTATCACACAGGTATCTTTGTGCAGTAGCATTTTACAGTCAGAAGAGCACTGGATTAGGAGCTAATTTTGCCATTACTTTTTTGTGTGTGTGATGGAGTCTTGCTCTGTCATCTAGAGACGGGGTTTTGCCATGTTGGCCAGACTGGTCTCAAACACCAGACCTCAGGTGATCCACCTGCCATGGCCTCCTGAAGTGCTGGGATTACAGGTGTGAGCCACCAAGCCAGGCCTGCCATTTCTTTCAATGGCAAAAACCGCAATTACTTTTGCACCAGCCTAGTAGTATTCTGGTGTGCTGGCTCAGCCACTAACTAATTGACTATCTCTGGATAAATCGCTTAATCTTTTGGGGCTTTAGCTTCCTCATCTGGAAAAGGAAGGCATCAGCCTGGCATAATTTTTATGTATCTTCTGATTCTTACCTTCTACATTAAATGTGTTAGTTATATGTAGGATGCACTTAAACCTGGACGGGAAGGTGAACTATCCAAAGTGGCGACACATAAATATTCAGGAACTAAAATGCCTTTATCTTGGTCAGTGCCAGGAGAATTGGTATTGGCAACTACCACAGAATAGAAGGATGGAGGAACTACCAGACAGTCTTTCCAGAAGACATACAGGTGAAAGACAAGATCTAACACTATGAAAGACCGTTGAGTCCTGGATACATTTTTCTTCTTAAGCAAAGAAGTTGTAAGTCGTTTCTACTTTAAACATAGAACAGGATGTGTGGTTGAATGCACACACAAGAGATTACAAGGGGCCAGGTGCTGTGGCTCACGCCTGTAATCTCAGCTCTTTGGGAGGCCGAGGTGGGCAGATCACCTGAGGTCAGGAGTTCAAGACCAGCACGACCAACATGGTGAAACCCCCTCTCTACTAAAAAAAATACAAAAATTGGCTGGGCATGGTGGTGAGCGCACCTGTAATACCAGCTACTTGGGAGGCTGAGGCAGGAGAATCGCTTGAGCCCAGGAGGCAGAGGTTGCAGTGAGCTGAGATCGTGCCACTGCACTCCAGCCTGGGCAACCAGAGTGAAACTCCATTTCAAAATAATAATAATAATAATAAACAAAAAAAGAAGTTATAAGGGTCTCTGAGATTCAGTTGTGCTTTTTCCTTCTTTTACTTTATAACTGATCTCTTCAGGATAATGAAGAAGTTTGTTAATCCACTGATTATATAACTTGGTAAACACAAATACTTTTACAAAAAAATGATTACAGCACAATTTTTTTT